TATGTGCTTGTTGGTTCACCCCTTCAGTACTCAGCCAAGCGGTTATCAACTCTGCGTTACCTTTTACTTCCTGCTTACAAAGAACCTCAAGTTCAAAACACAGGTCTCCTGTGTTTTGTGCGCATGGACATATCCTGGGCATGTGCAGTGATGTGCGTGCTCATGGCCTTCTATATGCCCATGAATATTTCAGGTGTTTTCGAAGTCCCCTTTGTACATATTATTCACCAGCTTTTCCTTTTAAGTTGTTTGGGTTTTTTTTGTTTTTTTTTTTTTTTTGCCCCTTTCTGTTATTGCCACCTTAAGCAGTTACAGTGTTTAAACAATTGCTTCTGATTGTTTTTGACAAACACACATAGTGATGGTGGGTGGGTGCAGTGGGGAGTGTGAAGAGGCTGTTTTCAGCAAGTGATTTCCAAGTAAGGTCAAGAAAGTCTTTATGGCACCACTGCACTCCAGTCTGGGTTGACGGAGTGAGACCCTGTTGCAAAAAAAAGTAGGGTGGGGGCAGGCACCATGGCTCATGCCTATAATCCCAGCACTTTGGGAGGCAGAGGTAAGTGGATGGCTTGAGCCCAGGAATTCAAGACCAGCCTGGACAACATGGGGAGACTCACCTCCACCCGCCATCTCTACAGAAGAATACAAAAATTAGCTGGGTGTGGTGGTGCATGGCTGTGTGTAGTCCCAGCTACTCAGGAAGCTGAGGTGGGAGGATTGCTTAAGTCCTGGAGGTGGAGGCTGTAGTGAGCCGTTATAGCACCACTGCACTCCAGGCGACAGAGTGAGATCTTGTCTCAAAAAAAAACAAAAAACAAAACAAAACATACACACTAAGAGATACACACAAAGAACTCTTTGTGAGTTTTTCCAGGGAAATGTCAGATAAGTCAAATTGTGATGATTTTCTTGGGGAACTGGAGTTTGGATGAGTTCCATCCCTGTTGAAGTGGCTTCTTGGGTGTCTTTAAAAAAAACCTCATCATTGTAGGATGTTGGTTTTTCTCTTCAGTGTGCAGCTAGAAAGGAGTAGTAATAGCACAAGTTAAAATGCCTGATTTTCCTAACCAAGACTCAGCTGTTTTTTCTTGATTAAATGCCACTGCCAAGGGTTCTTGCAATCCTTTGGTTAATTTCCAGAGTTCTTAAAAATTTGAGTTTGACAATTTTTGTCAGCATTCTTGTGCCTTTTATGAAGGAGAGGATGTTTAGAGGTCCTTACTCTGCCATTTTTGCTAATCTCACTCTCAATGATCTTTTCAAAAGATTTAAGTACTAAAAAATATTTTTTGTATTTACTTATGGGGCAACCATTTCTGCTGTTCTTCTTTCCTTATATAGATCCATGTTTTAATGAGATACCATTTTCCTTCTGCTCAAAGGACTTCTTTAATGTTTCTTTTAGTGCAGGTTAGCTTGTGATGAATATTTTCAACTTTGTATATCTGAAATTGTGTTTTTTATGCCTTCTATTTTGAATGACTGTTTTGAGGAGTTAAGTTTTTTTGAAATAAGTAATCTTATATTAAAATTCTGTGAATTTTAAAACATTAATTTTTATAACCATCTGTGTACAATTTTGATACAGAATAGTTTCATTACTCCGTAAAACTCTTCCGATACTCCTTATCTTCATACCCTCTGCCCTGCCATACTTTCCTGACTCATGGGAATCACTTGTCTGCTCTCCATTGCTGCTGTTTTTGTTTTTGAGAATGTCATATAAATAGAGTCCTATAGTATGTAAAGTTTTTTATTTTTTTGAGACCCGGGTTTCAGGCTGTCACCCTGGCTGGAGTGCAGTGGTACAGTCACAGCTCACTGCTGCCTCAACCTTCCAGGCTCAATCAAGTGATCTTCCCACCTCAGCCTCCAGATTAGCTGAGATTACAGGCGTGTGCCACCATGCTGGTCTAATTTTTAAAAACTTTTTGTAGAGATGAGTTCTCCCTATGTTGCCCAGGATAGTCTCAAACTCCTGACTTCAAGCAGTTCTCCCCCCTTGGCCTCCCAAATTGCTGGGATTACACATGTGAACCACCACATGTAAAGTTTTGAGACTGATTGCTCTCATTCAGTGTTGTATCTTTGAAATTCATCCAAGTTGTTAAAATATGGCAGTTTATTTTAATTCTGAGTAATATTCCGTTATGTAGATGAATCACAGTTTGTTAAATCCTTCATTTGTTGATGGGCATTTGGTTGTTTTCAAGCTTTGACTGTCACAAAGCTGATGATAATGTTTGTGCTTTGATGTGTATGTATATATAAATTTGTATTTCTCAATAGTAAATAGCCAGGAGTGGTATTGCTGGGTCATATTGTTAAGAGTGTGTTTCTCTGTGAATGTTTTACTTTTTGTTAGATTGTCTTCCAGAGTTGCTCTACCATTTTGCATTTCCACCAGCACTGTATGAGTGTTCTAGTTCCTCTGCATCCTCAGCAGCAACTTGGCATTGTCAATTTTTGTTGATTATTTTAGCCATTCTAATAGGTGTGTAGTAGTATCTCATTGCGGTCTTGACTGAATTTCTGTAATAGCTGGTAATGTTGAACATGCTTTCTCATGCTTATTTGCCATCCATATAACTTATTTGGTGAAGTATCTATTGCAAGCCTACCTCTCAAAATGGCCCTAAATGACTTTATGTAGTGATAAAAGTTGTGTTGCAATCACAGGTTAAGTACCAGGTAAAGCTTCTGATTGGCTGTTGACATTGTAGCCTTGGGCAGAATCAGAAGTGGCATATATGAAAATAGGAGTACATCACACATTCATATTTCGTATCTCCAAGTCCATATTTCGTATTTCCATTCATTTAAATGTCAAATGCATTACATTTTGATAAAACTTATTTTTTAGGTTTTATCAAAATAATGCATTTGACATTTAAATGAATATTTCTTTGATGAAATTTATGTTTCTGTTTCTACATTTTATTAATCTGTGCTATGTGGTTTTTCTAAATTCCTTGTAAAAAATTTTCTATAGTGGAAAGGGAAAAAGCAGAATGAACAAACTATTCTAGGCATTCAGAACTCAGCAATGTCAAGTTTTTTTGTGTATATAGTTTGCAGATGGTTTGGTGATGGTTGAGAGCCTGGGGTCTTTTCCATGACTTACTAAGGTACAGTATAATCTAAACATAATTTTTATCTAAACATAAAAATCTGGAGATTTTTATGACTCTTTGCATTTGCTGTTATCATTATAGAATAATTTCTTAAGACATAGTAAAATGTAATTTCACAGAAATTTAAATGCATGCATAGTAAGTAGAGCAGTGGTTGTCAGACTTTGGTTTACGTCTGAACCACTCGAAGGGGGTTTATAATAAGCACAGATTGCTGGACCTTATCCTCAGAGTTTCTCATTTAGTAGTTTTGTGAGGGACCCAAGAATTTGAATTTCTAACAAATTTTCAGGAGATGCTGATGTTTCTGGTCTCAGGACCATGATTTGATGACTACTTGAGTACAGATGTAGTTGCTGGGGCACGAGCTTCGTTGACCTCCTCACCGTGTCTTGTATGTGTGCGTGTGTCTATGTATATGTGCTCTGCACAGTTACAGTTTAGCACAAACAGCTTTGCATTTAGGGAGGTGTTCAGTAAATGGCTACTGTAGGATTTTGGAGTTAGAGGACATGCCGTTCCCATGAGATTATTATAGGAGAAGAAAAAAGCTCTGTAATGAATCATCTCTGTGTCTTTTCTAGTTTTGTCTCTTCAAGTATAATGTGAATGCTCAGGCTAGGGCAGTGGCTTCATTTTTTAAAAACATTTAAATGTTAAATTTCATTGAGCTATATTGAGCTATAACTTACAATATAATGTACACATTTAAAGTGTACAGCTCAGTGAATCTTGATAAATGTATATATCCATGTAACCTCCATCATAGAATTGAACTGTAGATTGTCTTTATCACCCATTGTGCCCCTTTGTAGATATTTCTCAATTCCACCCGGATTCCCAGATAACCACTGATGTGCTTCCTGTTACTCTTGTTTTGCCTTTTCTAGAATTTCATATAAATAGATTATATGATATGTACTTTATGCCTGGTTTCTTGTGCTTAGCATAGTGTTTGTTGATATCATTAGTTTACTTTTATTCCTCGCCAGTATTCCATTCCTAGGTACATACTTTGGGTGACAATTTAGGAAGTTTATAGTTCTTATTCTTTTGTAATGAGTACTCTAGCTTTGTTTTAAATAGGCATAATAAAGTATAGTACATTATGTACTGGAATTTCATTTCATTTATTCTATTCTAAAATTGTAACCATTTTGATGTAATTATTATTTTCCTAACTCCTTGTTACTTCAGTTTAGCAAATTTTTAAAAAAGTAAAAGTATAAATATATTAAGACTTTTTTTAGGGGGGCTTTGGGATGTGAAAGAGAAATCCAAACTGTAAAGAACATTAAGTTTTTAAAATTATGATTTATTTTGGCTGGGCACAGTGGCTCACACCTGTAATCCTAGCACTTTGGGAGGCTGAGGCGGGCAAATTACCTGAGCTCAGGGGTTCCATACCAGCCAGGGCAACACATTGAAACCCCATCTCTACTAAAATACAAAAAATTAGCCAGGTGTGGCAGCGTAGGCCTGTAGTCCCAGCTACTCGGGAGGCTGAGGCAGGAGAATTGCTTGAACGCAGAAGGCAGAGGTTGCAGTGAGCTGAGATCACACCACTGCACTCCAGCCTAGGTGACAGCGAGACGGTGTCTCCAAAGTAAATAAATAACATAAAATACAATTATGGTTTATTTTACTGAATAGCAGAAAATAAAATCTACTTGGTCTTCTTTCAGTTAATTGCTTTTTTAAAAAATTTTACCTGAACCGTAAATGAGTCTGAACATAAAAGCAAATTGCCCTTTTACTATCTCTTCAGCATTTTGTCTCTGAGCTGACCTAAGCAGCTGACCTAATCCCCCCTCCAAAAAAAAAAGTTTTTTAAGTGAAACTAATGAGAATTATTTATTTTGACAGGCCTTTGGAAATGCAAAGACAGCTCATAATAACAATTCAAGTCGTTTTGGGAAGTTTATTCAAGTAAATTACCAGGAAACAGGCACTGTACTTGGGTAAGTACTGCTACTTAGCAGGCGTAGGCTTCGGAGCATGTTTTAATTTTTGTCTTTACCCTTTTATAAACTATGTATTGTTCATTCCCAGACATGGTGTCAACATTAAAATTCTTCCCTATCAATTTTTTTCTTTTGGAAAAGTTCAAACCTCAGAAAAAATTTAAGACTAATATAACAGTCACTCATATCCTTAACATAGATTTGTTAATTGTAGTCAATGTGTTGCATTTGCTTTCTGTATATTATGCATACATTTGCTCTTTTAAAAAATTGTTTTCAAGGCCGGGCATGGTGGCTCATGCCTGTAATCCTAGCACTTTGGGAGGCTGAGGTGGGTGGATCACCTGAGGTCAGGAGTTCAAGACCAGCCTGACCAACATATAGTGAAACCCCATTTCCACTAAAAAATACAAAAATTAGCCAGGCATGGTAGTGCAAGCCTGTAGTCCCAGCTACTTAGGAAACTGAGACAGGAGAATCTCTTGAACCTGGGCGGGGGGAGGTTGCAGTGAGCTGAGATTATGCCATTCTGCTCCTCCATTCTGGGTGACAGAGTGAGACTCTGTCTCTCAAAAAAAATAAATAAATAAAATATTGTTTTCAAGTTGGTATTTTCTAATCTACATTTTTCTATATAACCATATTATTATATTCAAGAAATATAATTTTGTTACAATATTGTTTCTTATTATATAGTCTATGTTCAGAGTCCTCTGGTTGTGTGAGCAATATTCTTTACAGTTTTTTTATTAAATAGACTTTATTTTTTAGAGCAGTGGTAGCTTCGTAGCAAAAATAAGAGGAAAAGTACAGCAAATTCTTACGTATCCCTTTAAACGCCCCCTACCACCACCCTTACCTGTGGTTTCACTTTATGCAGTTTCAGTTACCCAAAGATAATTGAGTATAGTACAGTAAGATGTTTTCAGACAGAGACCACATGCACATACATTTTATTACAGTGTATTGTTATAATTGTTCTATTATTTATTTATTTTGAGAAGGGTCTCAATCGCCCAGGCTGGAGTGCAGTGGTGCAATCTTGGCTTACTACAACCTCTTCCTCCCAGGTTCAAGTGATTCTCCTGCCTCAGCCTCTAGAGTAGCTGGGACTACAGGCATGTACCACCATACCCGGTTAATTTTTGTATTTTTTGGAGTGACGGTGTTTCACTCTGTTGGCTGGGCTAATCTTGGACTTCAGGCATGAGCCACTGTGCCCAGCCCACTTGTTTTATTTTATTATTAGTTATTATTAATCTCTTACTGCAGTGGTCCTCAGCCTTTTTGGTGCCAGGGACTGGTTTCATCGAAGACAGTTTTTCCACAGACTGGGGGATGGAGGAATGGTTTCGGAATGATTCAAGCGTGTTACATATATCATTAAATTCTCATAAGGAGTGTGCAGCCTAGATCCCTCGCATGTGCAGTTCACAATAGATTTGACATTCCTATGAGAACCTAATGCTGCCACTGAGCTGACAGGAGGTGGAGCTCAGCTTTGCTCAGTTGCTGGCCGCTCACCTCCTGCTGTGTAGCCCGGTTCCTAACAGGCCAACCACTGTGAGTCCATGCCCTGGGGGTTGGTGACCCCTGTCTTCTGTGCCTAATCTATAAATTAAACTTTGTCGTAGGCATGTTTGTATAGGAAAAAAAACTCAGGCCAGGCACCCCTATAATTTCAGCATTTTGGGAGGCTGAGGCAAGCAAATTATTTGAGGTCAGGAGTTAAGAGACTCACCTGGCCAATCTTGGCTCCCTGCAACCTCTGCTTCCCAGGTTCAAGTGATTCTCCTGCCTCAGCCTCCCGAGTAGCTGGGACTATAGGCTCCCGCCACCACGCCCAGCTAGTTTTTTGTATTTTTATTTATTTTTTGTTAGTAGAGACGGGGTTTCACCGTGTTAGCCAGGATGGTCTCGATCTCCTGACCTCGTGATCCGCCCGTCTCGGCCTCCCAAAGTGCTGGGATTACAGGCTTGAGCCACCGCGCCTGGCCGATAGTATTCTTTATACTTCTACACTGTCTCCAAATATTTGTCTACCTTATATTAAACTTTATTATTTATATCAACCAATTTTATTTTTCTTGTAGTGCCTATGTTGAAAAATATCTACTGGAGAAGTCCAGACTCGTTTATCAAGAGCATAATGAACGGTACGTATTTTTATTTGTGTAATTAGATGAAGTTAACATTTGTATCATGCAGATTGACTTTTAAGGTCTTTGTGTATTTTGACCCTTAATTCAGTTTACGTCATGCATAGCTTTATGCATAATTGCTATTTCTGTCATGGGCAGAACTTTGCAGTTTTTCAGAGGCTGCTAGGAGATCTTTATTTGGTATATAGAACTATTGCAAACTGTCAGAACAAGTAAGTAGTTTCTCAGTTGTTCCTCATTCCTCTTGGTGAGCAATGTACCTCGGGACTTTTCTCCCATTTCCTTAGTGTTCTTTTTCTAACTTGAGAAAAAAATTTTCAATAAAGCTCTTAATTTGATTGTATTACTTGAGGTATACAGGTCTTTAGAGATGATGTATGTGGTATCCCTCAGATGGAGAAATAAGATAGAGAAGTAAATTAATTATTTGTTTCATCCTGCAGTGAGATTTGGTTAAGAGGGGGTTTGACCTACATTCAAATATTGGATATGCCTTGGGCATCTCACTTAACTTCTCTGCTTCTTGTTTATTTATTCCCATTTTACAGATGGAGAACTATTAGTAACTTTTTCTAATACATTTTAATGATGATGAAATAAGGGGATATAACTCTTATTTCCTTGGTTTTGGAGAATGAATGAGAGGTGAAGATCCAGTTTTTACAAACCAATTCTCTAGAAGAGTTTGTGAAGGATTGGGTTAATTCTTTAAACGTTTGGTAGAATTCACCAGCAAAGCCATCTGGTTCTGACTTTTATTTGTGTGAAGTTTTGATTATTAATTCAAACACTTCAGTTATTATAGATCTGTTCAGACTTTTTGTTTCATCTGTAGTCAGATTTGGTAGTTTTTATCTTTGCAGGAATTTGTACATTTCATCTAGGTGGTCTAATTTGATGCCAAAAACTTGTTTTATAGTATTCCTTACAGTCTTTTTTGTTTATGTAAGATTGGTAGTAATGTTCCTCTTTCATTCATTCCTGAATTTGATTCTCTGTTTCTTTCTGTGTCTGTCTCATCAGTTTAAAGTTTAATTTTGAAGATCTTTTCAAATAATCAGTCTTTAGTTTCATTGATGTTCTCTCTTTCCTTTTCCTATTTCATTTATTTCTGCTCTGATGCTTATTATTTCCTTTATTCTGCTTGCTTTGGGTTTAGTTTGCCGTTTTTTTCTAGTTTCTTAAGGTGGATGGTTAGGTTATAGATTTGAGATCTTTTTTATACGGGTTTACAGTTATAAAGCCCCTCTAAGGACTGCTTCAGCTGTTTTCCAAGTATTGGGTAGTGTTTTGTTTTTGTGCATCTTGGAGTGTTTTATAATTTTGCTTGTGACTTCTTTAACCCACTGGTTACTTAGGAATGTGTTGTCAAATTTCCATGTATTTGTATTTTGGAAATGTGATTTCTTATTTCACTGCAAAGTGTTTGGAGTAGTTGTATGATTTCAGTCTCCTTAAATTATTGAGACTTGTTTTGTAGTAGACTACACATGGTCTACCCTGGAGGATACTCCATGTGGACTTGAAAAAACATATCCTCCTTATGTTGGCTGGAGTGTTCTATAAACATGTGTTAGGTCTAATTGGTATATAGTAATTTTGAAGTCCTCTTTTTCTTGTTCATCTTCTGTCTGATTACTTTCTTCAATATTGAAAGTGGAGTATTGCAGTCTCTCAGTATTATTGTTGAATTGTGTACTTCTTCTCTTAGTTATGTCAAGTTCTTTTTGTGGCCAGGTGCACTGTCTTACTCCTGTAATCCCAGCACTTTGGGAAACCAAGGCAGGTGGATCATTTGAGATGAGGAGTTTTAGACCAGCCTGGCTAACATGGTGAAACTAAAAGTACAAAAACTAGCCAGGTGTGGTTGCATGCGCCTGTATTTCCAGCTACTTGGGAGGCTGAGTCAGGAGAATCACCTGAACCTGGAAGGTGGAGGTTGCAGTGAGCCGAGGTCTCACCACTGCACTCCAGTCTGGGTGGCAGTGCAACACTCCGTCTCAAAAAAAAAAAAAAAGTTCTTTTTGCTCAATGTTTTTTTGGGCTCTGTTCTTAGACACACATGTATATATTTTAAATTGTTATATCTTCTTGATGGATTGTCCCTTTTGTCATTATAAGATGGCCTTCTTTGTCCCTAGGAGCAAGTTTGGTCTTTAACTTTATTTTACCTGGTATTAGTAATAATTAGTAATTATTGTTTTATCTGGTATTCTCTAGCTTGCTTTTGGATATTGCTTGCATGATATCTTTTTTTTCTCATCTTTTTATTTTTAACCTATTTGTGTCTTTGAATCTAAAGCTTGTCTCTTGTAAACAGTATGTAGTTGGACCATATATTTTGTTTTTATCCATTCTGCCGTTTATCTACCTTTAGAATAGAGCGTTTAATGTACTTAATGTAATTATTGATGAGGTAGGATTATTAATACCATTTTGCTGTTTGTTCTCCATATGTGTTAACGATTTTTTTTGTTCTTCTGTTATTCTATGCCTGCCTTCTTTTGCATTAAGTAAATGTTTTCTAGTGTACCATTTTAATTTCATTGGCATTTCTTTTTATTATTTTTTATATTCTTATTGGTTACCCCGGGTATTGTAGTTAAAATCTTAACTTATAACAATGTTGTTTGGAATACTGACAACTTAATTTTGATAATATACAACAAACTTTGCTTGTATGTTGCTCTTTTCCTTTCTTGCTCTTTTGTCCTGTAACTGTTATGCAAATTACTTCTTTATGGTGGTACATCCATCAACACATTTATAATTACTGCTTTATGTAATTTTTCAAGTTTAATAGGAAAAAAGTGTTATAAATAAAAAATAGGCCAGGTGCAGTGGCTCCTGCCTGTAATCCCAGCACTTTGGGGAAGCCAAGGTGGGCAGATCACTTGAGGCCAGGAATTCGAGACCAGCCTAGACAACATGGCAAAACCTTATCTCTACAAAAATTAGCTGGGTGTGGTGGTGCACGCCGGAGTCCCAGCTACTTGGGAAGCCGAGGTAAGAGGATCACTTGAAACGAGATAGAGGTTGCAGTGAACTGAGATTGTGCCACTGCCCTCCAGCCTGGACAACAGAGTGAGATCCTGTCAGTCAATCAATCAATGAGTTAATTAATTTATACTGTCTTTTATATTTGCCATTGTTCTTTATTTCTTCATGTTTAATTGAATCTTGTCTAGTATCCTTTTATTTCAGTCAGAAAAATGAATTGCCTTTAGTATTTCTTGTAAGGCCCCTCTGTAGCTGTGAAGTCCAAGTTTGTTTATCTAGCAGTGTTCTAATTTCTCCTTTATTTTTCCTGGATATATACTTCTTGATTGACATTTTTTTTTCCTTTAAACATTTTGAATACGTTATCCGTCTGCCATGGTTCCTGATGCGAAATCAGCTGTTAATCTTATATTAGGATTCCTTGATGAGGAATTTCTCTCTTGGTGCTTTCAAAATTCTTTGTCTTTGCCTTTGAAGAATTTTGGTTTGTCAAAATGTGGATTTCTTTGAGTTTATACTTTCTAGAGTTCATTGAGTTTCTTGGATGTGCAGATTAATGTTTTCCATCAAATTTGGAGAGAGATTTTGGCAATTGGTTTTTCAAGTACTCTTTATGTCCCTTTCTTATTTCTCCTTTTAGAACTCCTAGTATGTATAGGAGTCTTTTTTTCTTTCTTTTCTTTTGGGTTTTTTTTTTTTTTTTGAGACAGAGTTTCATTCTTGTTGCCTAGGCTGGAGTGCAATGGTGAGATCCCAGTTTACTGCAGCCTTTGCCTCCCGGGTTCAAGTGGTTCTCCTGCTTCAGCCTCCTGAGTAGCTGGGATTACAAGTGCCTGTCACCATGCCCAGCTTTTTTTTTTTTTTGTAATTTTAGTAGATACGGGGTTTTACCATGTTGGCCAGGCTGGCCTCGAACTCCTCACCTCAGGTGATCCACCCACCTCTGCCTCCCAAAGTGCTGAGATTATAGGCGTGAGCAGCCTTGAACTCTTGACCTCAGGTGATCCACCCACCTCTGCCTCCCAGAGTGCTAGGATTATAGACATGAGCGACTGTGCCCCCCATGGGAGTCTTTTTAATGGTGTCCCACAGGTCTCTGAAACCTTGTTTCTTACCCTCCGTTTTTTTTCTTGTGTTCTTTAGACGAGAGTCTGTTAACCTGTCTTCATGTTTTTTGATTCTTTCTTCAAGTTCACTGGTTCTTCTTCTACCTACTCATATTAGCTGTTAAGCTCCGTTAGATACTTTTTCATTTCAGTTATATTTTTCAACTCAAGAATTCTTTTTTGATTAATTTCTTATGAGTCCTGTATATTAGTCTCTATTTGGTGAGATAGTGTTCTTATATTTTTCTTTAGTTCATTAAATGTAACTTTCTTTAGTTCATTGAACACGTTTAAAATAGCTGATTAAAATCTTGTAAGTCTAATGTCTGGGTTTTTTCAGGGACAGTTATTAATACTTTTTCTACTTTGTATCGGCTATACTGTCTTCTTTCTTTGCATGCCTTATAATTTTTGTTGTTGTTGTTGAAAACTGGATTTTTTTTGGCTGGGTGTGGTAACTCATGCCTGTAATCCCAGCACTTTGGGAGGCCAAGATGGGTAGATCACCTGAGCCCCCATGACTTCCGAGACCAGCCTGGGCAACATGGGGAAACTCTTGTCTACAAAAAATACAAAAATTAGCCAGGTTTGGTGGTGCACACCCGTGGTCCCAGCTAGTAGGGAGACTGAAGTGGGAGAATCACCTGGGCCTAGGAGGTCGAGGCTGCAGTGAGTCATGAGCATGCCACTACACTCCAACCTGGGTGACAGATATGCTGTCTCAAAACAAAAATTGGTTTTTGTTTTTGTTTTTGTTTTTGTTTTAAGACAGTCTCACTCTGTCACCAGGCTGGAGTGCAGTGGTACGATCTCGGCTCACTGCAACCTCCGTCTCCTGGGTTCAAGTGATTCTCCTGCCTTAGCCTCCTGAGTTGCTGGGACTACAGGTGCATGTCACCATGCCCAGCTAATTTTTGTATTTTTAGTAGAGATGGGGTTTCACCATGTTGGCCAGGATGGTCTCCATCTCTTAACCTCGTGATCCGCCCACCTCAGCCTCCCAAAGTGCTGGGATTATAGGTGTGGCCACTACGCTCGGCCGAAAAATTGGATTTTTAAAATAATATAATGTGGCAACTCTAGAAATGAGTCCTCTCCTTACCAGGGTTTGATGGTTGTTTTTATTCCTACTGTTTGTTTTGTGACTTTTCTGAATTAATTTTATAAAGTCGATATTCTTTTTTGAGTGTGGCAATTGAAGTATCTGCTTATTTAACTTAGTTGTCAGGTAATAACTTGACAGAGATTTATTTAAATGCTTGGAAACAATAAGCAAGCCTCTCACTCCTTGCCACAGGGCTCTCTATGTATATTGTTCCATGCCTTCAACATTCAGCTAGGTATTTTACAAATCTACCTTAGCCTTTATTTTCTGCTTGTAGGGAGGTTCAGAGTTAACCAGAGGTGAGAGTTTATATTTAATCTCTTTTTTTCTGAGAGCACATACAACCCTGGGCATGCCCACAGGGTTCTGCACGCAAATGGCCTTCTAGATTCCTAGGAAATTTATTGGAGGTTTTCAAAGCCAGTATGAAGATCACATTCACCAGCTTTTCCTTTTAAGTTTCTTGATTAGCCTATTGTTTGCCCCAACTTTGATCCACTGCTTTAGGAAGTAGGCTGTTCAGCCTCAGTTTCTATGGATGCCTCTGGGGAAAAGATCTTTGCACCATGTGAAGTCTAAATGAGTCTCCTAGAGTCAGTCGTGAATATGGCTACTTACAGGGACCCACCATACAGTTCAAATAATGGTATTTCTTAGGGAATGAGGCTTTGAACAAGCTCAGAACCTGTTCTGACCTTTCTGGTAGCTGCCAGGCTTCTGATCTCCAAGTTTGCAGGCTGTTGGTTTTCAGGGAATGGAATAGGGCAAGTTAAAAACACTACAAAGCCATTTTTTAATTGAGATTTGGCTCTTTTTATTGAGTAAACACTCTCTGGGTTGTTGCAAGCTTTTGATTAGTTTCCACAGTTCTGAAAAGGTTAATTATGACAGATTTGCCAGATTTCTCATTGGTTTTATGGAGAAGAAAATTTTCAGAGGTCCTAACTTTGTTAATTTTGCTGCCTTCATCCCTCTCTCTTGTATTCCACATTCAAAACATCATTCAATTTTTAGGAGTTCTTAAATGCTGAATTTATCACATTTATGTTAAAAAATGAAGCAAAGCTGATACATTTTACTAATTACTGTTTGCTTCCCTCCTCCCCCTGTTAAATGATAACCATAAATCACACATTATAAAACTGTACTTCTTTGTTTCCTACAGGAACTATCATGTATTCTATTACCTCTTGGCAGGAGCAAGTGAAGATGAGAGATCAGCATTCCATCTTAAGCAACCAGAGGAATATCATTATCTCAATCAGGTGAGAGTTCATAAAAAGCTTTTTGAAGTATAGGGCAGTATTAAATTTAATGCTTGAAAAGTGTCTTTTTTCTAGTACTTTCTTTCCCAAATCTACAAATGGATATTAGCTGGCACTTTCATACATGTACTCTACAAATTTATGTGATGCAGTTCTCAAATTTGAGGGTAATTACCATCCTCATATAAATGTTAAAAGCTCAGATAATGTATGTGCTTTTCGTTTTCTGTGAAATTCTGTGGGAAAAAAAAAATAAGCTGTTTATTGATACTTCTACTCTATTAGAAAAATGCTTTACTTTTACTAAAGTGATTTGCCTTTTACAACCCCAGGATATTAAATGTTACTAATGATTAATTCTTGTCCTTTGCTAAGGATTACTTGAAACCTAATTTGCATGTTTTGAAGTCTCATACACATACGTCTTTGCATGATACTGTGACATTGACTTAGAGTATGACTATTCAAAGGCAAACGACTTAGAGAATTTGGATCTTTCCTCAAAACTCAAAATTCATCCCTAAACTTCCACATTAAGGAGTAGTTCTCACTTTTCATTATATTGACTTTACCAATTTTATTATTTCTCATAATAACAAAAATTTTACAACCAGCATTAATGGAATTAGTAAAACAAACAATAGATCATTTAAATAATAGATTGTCTCCCCTTATTTTTCCGTTGTTGGAGGCAAGATGTAATGTCTATGGAAAGAAATTCTTTTATGACAGTTAAAAAAATCCTTATGAAGGTTTTGTAAGCAAATTGACACTGGTGATGGTTCAAAGATAGCAGTATATATTTAGGGTTATGAAAGTTATATCTTTGGCTGAGTGCAGTGACTTACACCTGTAATCCCAGTACTTTGGGAGGCTGAGGCGGTTGAATCACCTGAGATCAGGAGTTCGAGACCAGCCTGGCCAACATCGTGAAACCTTGTCTCTGCTAAAAAATACAAAAAAATTAGCTCGGTGTGGTGGCGCACGCCTGTAATCTCAGCTACTTGGGAGGCTAAGGCATGAGATCACTTCAACTCAGGAGGCAGAGGTTGCAGTGAGCCAAGATCATGCCACTGCACTCTAGCCTGGGTGACAGAGTGAGACTCTGTCTCACAAAAAAAAAAAAAAAAAAAAAGAAAGTTATACCTTTGGCTTTCCCCAAGATATACAGTGTGTTGCATTAACTGTTATTTCTTAATTTTGAAACTGCATATATTAATATAAACTAATGACTTTGTATTAATATATTGCGAATTCCAAGTTATTTAAAGTATCAATTTCTGATACAATATTATTAATTTTTACGCATAGAATTAAGTAGCTTTTCAAAAATATTTGCTAATTCAGCTTCTGAATTTTTTCCTCCCCAGTTTAAACTATTTGCATTATATTTGGGTGATTAAAGATTTTCTTTTTTATAAAGTAACGATCTCATAAATGAGCTGATAGTTGTTAGTATTAGAGAACTCTGGAATTTTGCTGTTCTTTCAGATCTTTTTGTAATTAATGACCATAATATATTTCTGTCATAATGTCAGTATTCATAGGATATGGGACTCAGTTTATATAAATAACAGTCACTGGAGCCTATGGTATATATGAGTTGGGTAGTATAGTATACAGTCTCCCAGAATGTGAAAATTTACTTCATTATTTCTTGTTTTATGCTGCTACGCAAAATAACTTTTCAATGGATAGCAGCAGTACTACCTGCACACCACATCTAAGAGATCATTAGAAAATTATAATAACCATTACTTCTACCTAACTAATCTGCCTTACTTTCAGATAACAAAGAAACCCCTCAGACAGAGCTGGGATGATTATTGCTATGACTCTGAGCCGGTCAGTACAAGTACCTAAATATTCTGTGTTCCTGTCAAAGGGTCCTCACATTGCTCATTTGCATCCATCTGAAGATTTAGAATGCAAATCAGCTGAAATACAAATAATCCTAGGAAGGAAGATAAATCAATGTTTCATTTCTTTTGAATGAATGATTTATATCTGTATAGTTTGTTGATTTAAAACCAGTTAATTTACTTTTTTTTGGATATTTTCTGGTCATTAAGACTTAGTCCACATTCAATATTTATTTTGACAAACATTAATTGATTATATTCCTGATTCTTCAGCATTGCTGTGGATTTGTATGAACTATAGTTTTTTTCCCCTTTTATTTTTTAGTAGTTTCATTACCCACATACTACGAGTAATAATTATTGTTTATTTCAAAAAATTGCATCCTTTATGTTTTATATGTCAGCAATCTTTACACATATGAATGCATGAATATTTTTTTTTGATTTTTTTTCCCAGTAGCAAGAGTCTGTAGCCTTAATAAAATTATCCAAAAATAAGTATTGAAATTCCTATAAATAAGGTTTTTTTTTTTTTTTTTTTTTTTTGAGACAGAGTCTCGCACTATTACTGGAGTACAGTGACATGATCTTGGCTCCCTGCAACCTCCATCTCCTGGGTTCTAGCAATTCTCATGCCTCAGCCTCCCAAGTAGCTGGGATTACAGGCGTGTGCCACCAGGCCCGGTTAATTTTTCTATTTTTAGTAGAGATGGGGTTTCGCCATATTGGCCAGGCTGGTCTTGAGCTCATGGCCTCAAGTGATCTGCCCATCTTGGCCACTCAAAGTGCTGGGATTACAGGTATAAGCCACTATGCCTAGCCTATTTTCTGTTTTAAATTGAGTGATTTAAGGGGATACATGATGTAATATAGAGTGAATAGGTAAATTTTGCTTTAATTTTTTAAAAATTGTATTATTGTATTTTAATAAGTATATATTTAAATTAGAGACAGAGTCTCACTATGTTGTCCAGGCTGGTCTTGAACCTCTGGCCTCAAGTGATTCTCTTGCCTTGGCCTGTCAAAGTGCTGGGATTATAGGCATGAGCCACCATGCCCAGCTAAATTTAGCTTTATTTGTTATATTTTATGACAAGTTTGTAACTATAAAAAGAACACAAAATTTTTTAAAAAATTTTCAATTAAGTTAGTTCTAAAAAGGCTGAAAACACACACTAATCTTCCTATATCTATTAATTAACTAATGAATTAATTTATTAAATATTCTTTCTGAAAACATTTCTTAGTCCTTGCTTTAAAGAACCACAACTTTGATTCGTGCTGCATGTTTATAAACTTTACTAATTGCCGAACTAGCCTATTTCACAGGTGAGAAGATTCAGTATACATGGATAATAATTTTTTTTTAGATAAATTTTGATTGTATTACTGTTATGTAACCAAGTAACTTTGGAGTTTAGATTTAACATTTTGGGGGAAAAAAAACTTGACATTTAAATTTATGGATTCTGATATATTTTAACAGAAAAAATTTAAGTTGTTTTGCCGTTCTTAAGAAGCTCCCCCTTTTCCTTTTTCACGTACTACACCAAGTGACCATGCCTCCTTGGAAAGCAGGTAGGGGACTGCAAACACATACTGCAAATAGAAGAGATCATCTGTTCTGAGCTTACAGTGAAGCTGTGAACTGATCTGCTACTTTTCAGAGGTAGTCTAAGTAATACTTAAGAATTTGGGGGCCGAGAGTAGTGGCTCATGCCTATAATTCAACACTTTTAGAAGCTGAGGTGGGAGAATTGCTTGAGACTAGGAGTTTGTGAGACTAGCCTGAGCAACAAGGCAACACCCTATCTCTCCAAAAAGTTAAGCCAGGTATAGTGATACATGCCTGTAGTTCCAGCTACTCAGGAGGCTGAGGCAGGCAGATTGCTTGAGCCCAGGAGGTTGAGGCTACAGCAAGACAAGATCACACCGTTACGCTGCAGCCTGGGTGACACAGCAAGACTCTATTTCAAAAAAAAAAAAAAAAAAAAAAGGATTTGTGCTCTGAAGCAGAATGACCTAACGTGAATATTGGCTGGTTTATTTTCCAGTATCATTTATTTTAGGGGTTAATAATGGTCTTTAAGTTTTGTGAGTCTTAAAGTTGTGCATGTAAAGAACTTGATAGAGTACATAATCCTTAGTAAGTGCATAGCGAATGCTGTTGCCACCATTTAAGTCATCATTACCCATCTTTCCCTTTAGAAGAACTTTGTATCCATAATCTGCTCTTCCCTTAATAATACTTTTGTCACCATTATCCATTTATTGTGTTTGAATATCTATTATAGTTTGAAATTTGATTTCTGATTGTTTTTCTTATGTTAATTAATAAAAGCAAACAGTCAGAGGATCTTTTATTCTTTCCTGTTAGCTCTTCCTCATAATATATTTGGGGACAAACTAAACTTTGTTTCCCTGTGAGTTATTAGAACTTATGTGACTAGCTTCATAGGTAGAGAGGATTGAGGACTGTTCTGTTGTACTACATTACTTACGTATTTCGTGGAATTGTATAAATGGTCCCAAGGAGACGTGTAGTTAGAAAATTGCTTTTTACAAGGGACCTGTTGTTGCCCTTGTATGGTGATTTAGTTCCATTTAAGGGTTATCCTATTAAATAAGCACAAACAGCAGTGTTGCATGGGAGAGAGCAGGGGATTTGGAACTACATAGATTTTGGTTTGGCCAGCCCTGTTATTTATAAGATTTTTTTTTTTAACCTTTGGAAAGTTATTTAACCTGTGAATCTCTTTTCTTGTCTGTAAATGTATATATAATTATCTCCTTGTGTTTTGAGGTTTCAGTAACTCTCATGGTGACTGACATGTAGAAGAATATTTAATAAGTGCTAATTTCCCCTCTTCAAGTGGTAATAATCTATTAAATGTCTTTTTATTTTTATTATTAATAACATCTCAACCTTTGTTTCTTCAATTATAAAATATGAAGAATGAATTAAATACTGGTAATATGTTGGCTGATGTCTGCCATTGTACCTTAAAGCTGATCTGAGGCTAGGCGTGGTGGCTCACGCCTGTAATCCCAGCATTTTGGGAGGCCGAGGTGGGCGGATCATGAGGTCAAGAGATTGAGACAATCCTGGCTAACACAGTGAAACCCTGTCTGTACTAAAAAGTACAAAAAATTAGCTGAGTGTGGTGGTGGGTGCCGGTGGTCCCAGCTACTAGGGAGGCCGAGGCAGGAGAATGGCGTGAACCCTGGAGGTGGAGCTTGAGGTGAGCTGAGATCATGCCACTGCACTCCAGCCTGGGCAACAGAGCAAGACTCTGTCTCGAGAAAAAGAAAAAAAAAAAAGCTGATCTGAATAACTTCAATGTAAAGGGTCAGCCAGCCTCACCAAATTCTTTTATTTATCTGAGCCTTGAATTTTAGGGTCCAACTATTAGGTAGGGTTTTAATGGTAATTGCCATAAGTGATAGTCTCAGGACACCTGTGTCCATCATGCTGCAGACTGATTTGACCTGTATTATTCTGTGGAGACAAAGCTCCAACCTTGGTCACTACTACCTTTACAGGAATCCAAACGTCTATAAATACCTGGAAGCTCATTTCCTGTGTGGTAGACCTCCTATAATGCTTTCAGGGATCATGATGCAACTTGGGCAAGATACTCTGAAACCATGTTTTCATCTACTCTGTTTTAAGTATTTTTGCAGTGTAAAGATTCCTACTGCCAAAACCCATCTGTCAGTTTGTAAATTTGTGGTCACACACTTAAACATTGTCTTTCTGGCTTTATTCCTCACCCTCCTCTGCCAGTCTGGTATAAGGTCTCCGCATACTGCACAACTTTCTCTGCGTATATTTTTTCGTTTAAAAAGCACTTCACATCTGGCCAGATACGGTTGGTCATGCTTGTAATCCCAGCACTTTGGGAAGCCTAGGCGGGTGGATCACTTGAGGTCAGGAGTTTGAGACCAGCCTGGCCAACATGGTGAAACCTTGTCTCTACCAAAAAACAACAAAAAAAAATTAGCAGGGCGTAGTGATACGTGCCTGTAGTCCCAGCTACTCAGGACGCTGAGGTGAGAGAATCACTTGATCCCAGGAGGCATAGGTTGCATTTAGCCAAGATCGTACCACTACACTCCAGCCTGGGTGACAGAGTGAGACCCTGTCTCAAAAAAATTTAAAAGAAGCACTTAACATCTTTCTTTTCTTTTTTTTCTTCTTTCTCTCCTTCCTTCCCTCCTTCCTTCCTTCCTTCCTTCCTTCCTTTTTTTTTTTTTTAATTTGTTTTTCGAGATGGAGCCTCACTTTGTCATTCAGGCTGGAGCACAGTGGCATGGTATCAGCTCACTTCAACCTCCACCTCCCAGGTTCAAGCGATTCTCCTGCCTCACCCTCCTGAGTAGCTGTGATTACAGGCGCCCGGCACCACACCCAGCTAATTTTTGTATTTTTAATAGAGATAGGTTTTTACTGTGTTGGCCAGGCTGATCTTGAACTCCTGACCTCAGGTGATCTGCTCGCCTCAGCCTCCCAAAGTTCTGGGATTATAGGCATGAGCCACTGCGCCCAGCCACTTGTCTCTATTTCTTAAAATGGTACTTAAGAAATCATACATTTTTATAACTACCAGTGTAGAGTGCAGGACATAAACTGGAACAATTGACTTTGAAGGTTAGTAAAGACGCTGGAGATCACTTAAGAAAAAAGGAGATAAATAACAGGTTTGGTTGGAATCCCAGCTACACTATTAGCAAGCTTCACCACCATAGGAGCAGTTGGCTTAAATTCTGAGCCAATGCTGCTGCTTGTGTGAAAGGGAATCATAACTACCACCAGAGGTTTTATAAGGATCAAATATAATATGGAACTGGACAGTGTCTCATGCCTGTAATCCCAGCACTTTGCAAGGCTGAGCTAGGCAGATTGCTTGAGCCCGAGAGTTTAAGACCAGCCTGGGCAACATGGCAAAACACTGTCCCTCCAAAAAATATAAAAATCAGATGGATGCTGTGGTGTACACCTGTAGTCCCAGCTACTCCTCAGGAGGGTGAGGTGAACCACTTGAGCCCAGGAGGCGGAGGTTGCAGTGAGCTGGGATTGTGCCACTGCACTCCAACCTCGGCAACAGAGCGAGACTCCATCTCAAAGAAAAAAGAAAAAGAGACAAGATAGTATGATTTCTTAAGTACCATTTTAAGAAATAGAGACACAGTAGAAGAAAATATCTAATTTGACTCTTCTCTTTCTCTCCCTCACACCCACACTAATTGCCTACTGCATGCTAGGTTTATCCTAGGCATTTGTAAATGAGATAGTGTGTCACCTCATAGAAAGAGCAAGATCTGATAGCATGAAAGAGCATTTGGGTATGTTTGTTGGGGGAATGTAGTGGCATATTATCAAGTACAAACAAGAACTTATACGGAGCTGACAGAAGGATTGCCTATGTTCTTTCAGTGGAAGGGGTTGTAACAGTTGTTTGTTAGTTCCCTGCCTTATCCTTGGAACGAACCTTACCATTTCCTTGAACTCTGGCTGACCAGTATTTGGATGCTGGGGCCTGAAGGCTTTGTGCAGAACCCTGGAAGGCCTTGGCATTTGTAGGGCCCTCTAGAAGTGACTTGGGAATTAACAGCTGCCTGCTCCCTCTCCAGAAGTCCTCAAACAGTGACTGATGAGAGATGAGATGGTATATAAATACAGTCACTCCCTCACCTTTCTAGGTTTTATATTGTTTCCCAGAGATAACCTTGGGATTAAACTCCATTATGCACTCACAAATGACTTGGGAATTAACAGCTGCCTGCCCCCTGTCCAGAAGTCCTCAAACAATGACTGATGAGAGATGAGATGGTATATAAATACAGTAGCTCTCTCACCTCTGTAGGTTTTAGATTGTTTCCCAGAGATAATCTTGGGATTAAACTCCATTTAACTACTTTCATAGTAGTTACCACAGACTGTTTAGTCTGTCTGCTCTTTTACTTTCTCACTTTCTCTGTGACTTGTATTTGACTCTTGGTCTGTCTCAAGATCTGCCTCCCAGGGAGCCGAGATTAAGATAAAATCATTTCTGTTCTGGGAGATTTAATTTATCCTTAGTTTTTCTTCTATAGTTGTCATCAGAGAAACAGAGAAGGGAATTAATACACATTTTTTTAAAACTATGATTTTGATATTCACTGAGACCACTTCGGGTTTCTAAGAACATTTGATTAAGGATAAGAGCAAATACAAATATATTTCAGTGTACTTTCCACTATTTTATATACGTTAATTGTTCCATTCACTTTCAGGGCAGATTAGAACACTGTTAGTTAGAAGAATCATTATTGACACATGTGAAGCATAGATTCCCTCTGCCTTGCCACTTGTGATAGGAAAATATTTGTTAAATCATCAAGCGAATGAACTGTTTGTGTTTTGAAAGTAAGGGGAAGAGTAGTAAGAGAGCTTACTTACTATAGGTAAAAGAAGAATGCATTTAAAAATTTATCTTAGGGCCGGGTACGGTGGCTCACTCCTGTAATCCCAGCACTTTGGGAGGCTGAGGTGGGTGGATCACCTGAGGTCAGGAGTTTGAGACCAGCCTGGCCAATGTGGTAAAACCCTGTCTCTACTAAAAAAATATAAGAAAATTAGCCTGGCACGGTGGCACACACCTGTAATCCCAATTACTTAAGAAGCTGAGGCAGGGGAATTGCTTGAACCCGTGAGGCAGAGGTTGCACTGCGCAGACATCGCGTCATTGCACTCCAGCTGGGCAACAAGTGCAAGACTCCATCTCAAAAAAAAAAAAAAAAATTATTTTAATGAGTAGGACATTGGCATGTCAGTAGAATTTCTTAAAACTGCTTATCAAAAACTTTATTGTCATAAAATTAAATGCATGGGTTCTCGGAAAGAACTTGTGAATTTAAATTTTTAAACTGTGCATGTGCAGCTTTCCATGTAGAGAATAAAAATACTGTTAACAGCATTTCAAAACTTTATTTTAAACTTCAGATATTCGTTGACTAATGCTTATGGTGCCTAAAACAGATTTTTTTGTACATGGTAAATACTTGATAAATACTTTTTATAAAATAAATGAGCACTTTATTTCAGAAAAAGGAATGTTTCATTCAATTCAATATATGTTATTCAGTAATTCAATGACTATGTATTTACCTAAATAATGACTTGTTTTTGGCACTGACTTTGCACTGGGGATCTCCAGTTAATAAGACGATTAACTGTTCATATACTTCACTGAGTACTTGAGAGAATATTCCCTAGAAAGATAGGCATTAAAAATGTAAATGCAGATGTGAGGAGGTTTTTGAAAGTGCAAGGGACTGTGACAACATACAGTAAAGGGATTTATAACTCACTTATTGTTTTGAAGATTTAGAGTATGTCTACTACTGTTTGAGGAACTGAAATGCAAGGGTTATGCTTTAAAAGTAATGTTTTTTAATCTGGTATTCCACAGCATTTTTTTTTTTTTCTTGTGATGGTGTTATGCTGTGTTGCCCAGGCTGGTCTCAAACTCTTTAGCTCAAGCAATCCTCCTACCTCAAGCTTCCAAGTAGCTGGGATTACAGGCGTGTGTGACTATTCACAACTATTTTTACTGACTCATATGACGTGTTTTCTGAGGGTTTTTATACTTTCACATATACTTCTTTCCTTGTTTGATTACTGTGTTGTCTATTATTTCATTAGGAAATAATTACATATATGAAATATATAAATAATTATATATGTATATATCTAGTGTAGATGTAACAGGCTGGGCGCAGTGGCTCACGCATGTAATTCCAGCACTTTTGGAAGCCTAGGTGGGTGGATTGCTTGAGTCCGGGAGTTCAAGACTAGCCTGGGCAACGTGGTGAAACCCTGTCTGTATTAAAAATACAAAAAACTAGCTGGTCATGGTAGGACTAGCTGGGTAATTCCAGTTGCTTGGGAGGCTGAGGTGGGAGAATCATCTGAGCCCGGGAGGTCGAAGCTGCAGTGAGCCAAGATCATGCCACTGTACTCCAACCTGAGCAACAGGAATAAGACCCTATCTCAAAAGAAAAAAAAAAAAAATCTATATAGATCTATGTAGATCTATATAAATATAGATTAGATAGATGTAGCAAACTTCTTTATATTATATAAATCTAGGCTTCACTCTTCAACTAAATTATTGCCTCTTCTAAAATTTATTTTTGTGTCACTAATATCTAGTTCAGTGCCTTACATAGAGTAGGCACTTGTTAAATGTTTGTTGAATAAATAATATTTGCTGGTGGAATTAAGCACTCTTAAATACTTTGAATTTCTGAAACTGTTTAGAACCACTCAAAATTAAACTTGGTATCAGCATACTTACTAAGTACAGCTAGCTCTTTATCTTAACTTTTGAGATCCTAATCTTGGTGATTGTGAAAGGGAGAACAAAAGTAAACTTATTGGCATTTTAGTAGGTATGTGTTTAGTTTGCATACCTATAGTAAGATAAGAGGTCTAATGAATTTGACTAGGCCTAACTATTCTGCCAGCTCTAATTTGCATTTATACATACAGGTACTTATCCTAAATTACCATATTTCTGAATGGCCCACGTTATTTTAAAATATATAATCTTGATTTTTAAACTTTTATTTTGAATAAGCAGGATTGCTTCATGGTGGAAGGAGAAGATTTGAGACATGATTTTGAGCGCCTACAACTTGCCATGGAAATGGTAGGATTTCTTCCCAAGACACGAAGACAGTGAGTTTACTTGTTGTATTTTTATACCTCCAATAGAGAACACATGATATGTCTTCGAAAGGTTTCTCCTGTTGGTCTTTTAAAATAGTTTTCTAAGTGGTAATCCTCATCTAGTACTTCATCCATCTCGAGCATTATTTCTAATTCCTTTTTTTGTCATAAATTCTTTTGAGAATCTGATGAAACCTGACACTATTGTTGTTGTAAAATGTACATCTTTAACAATTTGCATATAAATGCAGGAATTTATGGTGCCCCTGAAGCCTATCCATAGATGTTACTCAAAACTTTTGCTTTGTAACACTATTTTTATAGCTCTTCATTTTTTGTATATCAGTGATCTCTAATCTTATTAAATTATGCATACTTATCAGAGGCATAGTATTTAATTACCAGTGTATTTCCTCTGTATAGTTTATATCTGTACCATTCTAATATGTTTTTAAATTGTAAATCTAAACAAATTAAAAATATAAAAAGGTTGAGATAAAGATGAGATAAATTATATTTGAAACAAATTATTTAAAATTAAAGACTCAACCTTGGCTCTCACCAGAAAAAAATAGTTACTTATAACTTTTTTGAGGGGGAGAGTTGTGTTGATGAGTATATCAGATCTGATTATATTGTTAAAAATTTTTTTTTTTTTTTTTGAGACAGGGTCTCACTCTGTCACCTAGGCTGGAGTGCTCACTGCAGCCTCAACCTCCCCAGGCTCAGATGATTTTCCCACCTCAACTTCCCAAGAAGTTGGGACTGCAGACTTATACCATCACACTTAGCTAATTTTGTATTTTTTGTGCCATGTTGCCTACGCTGATCTTGCATTCCTGGGCTCAAGTGATCTGCCTTTCTCAACCTCTCAAAGTGCTAGGATTACCAGCAGGAGCCACTGCACCCGACCTCTGTTGTTAATTTTTAACCTCATGATTGATGACCCTATACTGAGAGTAGGAGAAAATCACCTCTGCTGTTTTCTTGTTTGCTTGCGCTTACATCATTGGTATGACTCTTTAATTAGCAGGCTATTTGCTAGAATCTTTTTATGAGAAGTCAATTAAAATCAAATAATACAATATGTAAGTTGGCATACCAACTCAATTGGTGACATAAACTACAGTTCACTGAAAATTAGTGAATTTCTGTTAAAAATAATTTTTAAAAGAAGCTCATGAATTTGTTTTTGTCTTTTGACTTCCATTAGTTATGTTTTGGTTGATAGTTTATTCTTTAATCCAGAATAACATTATGCATTATTTTTTTAATAGACTTGTATTTACTGTGAGTCATGTGAATGATTCAAAGATTTTAAAACTTTAAATTATTTGAAAAATTAGATTTATAAGTTAGATGGTGATTCAGTACCTCTCAAATGTTGCTAAGGTAATATCTCAGGTTCCTAAAGCAATATCTTTGTTTTAGTTGGAATAGTTCGTAATTTTAGGAAAACATAGTGTTAAATTTTCGTAAGACAAATTTTGTAAGCCATATTTATTCTAAGAAAATAACTGCATGTGACACAAAGCTGTATGTATAAGGAGACTGAGGAGTTTTTCAGTGGAGTGTTTAGCTGTGTTAAATGCCTCTGAGATGTCAGATAAGTTAAGAACATAATATACTGTTCTTAGCTACATGGAGATGCTTGGTAACCTAAGGTTCCTGAATTAACAGGAGTTGATGGGATATATAGCATAAGAGGAGAGATTAGTTGTTGATTGGAGGGCACGTGCTCTTCTGACTCAGGAGGGAAATTTAGAACGGAGGGTCCATATGAAGTTGTTTCACAGTAGAGGTTAATATACCCCACATTGCTTCATACTTAACACACACACACACACACACACACACACACACCCACAAAAAACCGTTTACCCCAAACACCGTAATGTGGTATAGGAAAGCATTTTAACAACATAACTAATAATAAAAAATCAGCTAGGATACTTGATTAAAAAAAATACAGATTCAAGGCCTTTCCTTTGGCAATTCTGATTCAGTGTATCTGAAACAGTATAGGAAAAAAGCATTCCAGGTAGGATAAATAGCATTTAGAAAGGCATGGCCTTTTAAAACACTGTGACAAATTCAGGCAATAGCAGAAGTCTCTTTGAAATAACTATATAAGAAGTGGTGTAATACTTAAGGCCATGAAAAGCATTTTAAACAGTATGTGATACATATAGTAAACCCTCAGTAAATTTTAGTAATTATTCCCATATTGCTTATTTTCCAAAGACTAGATACTTCATATTTGTACTGGTTGGTTTGCTTAACTAGAATTTTAGAATGAAACCATCTTTGGGAATGGATACAACTAAGCTATAATTTGTGTTTTGTTTTCCCAGGATTTTCTCTCTTCTCTCAGCCATACTACATTTGGGTAATATCTGTTATAAAAAGAAGACATACCGGGATGACTCCATTGATATCTGTAATCCTGAAGTTCTGCCTATTGTCTCAGAATTATTAGAAGTGAGTGATTACATTCTCAGTTGTCATTTCAAATACTTTGTAACTTTTTATTTTTTATTTTGTGTATTTTGTAGGTGTAAATGGGTTAATGCTTTCTATTAATAATGTTTTTATTAGGCACTATTTTTAAATAGCATTTCCAAAAGATGGAATTTTTCCTGATACCTGCCTCAGTTTGCTATTGAGTGAGGCAGAATCTTTAGAAAATTTGTGTTTTCTCCTTTGCCTCCACTTGCTCCAGACATCCATAGTCCCTAAATTTGCTGGATAGGATGAATATTTCCATGCTAGACTGTATAATGTTCTGGGGCTATGCTAATTTTTCTCTTTTCATATTTGAGATTTCTTCTCATACTAAGATTTTGGTTAGATTATTTTGTTTCAAGATGGGGGCATCTGGGTGGGTGGAGAAAAAAGGATACTACTTTTTTTTTTTCCTTATGGGTTGAATAGGACCTAAAGGTTCTCATCTCCTAGCATGCTTCTTCTTACATCAAGGGCCTTTATTACCTGATTCTTTCTTTCTGGAGTGATGATTTATCATATATTCTTAACTTCTCTCTTGCCTACCTCCTTCTCATCTTGCCAGATTTGTCCCATCAGATGGGGTGTCATTTCTTACAGGCCCTATTGTCTGGCATAGCAAGGAAATATATGTATGTATATACTAACCTGTGTATATACACATATCTATACATATTTTAATATGTAATCATCTGTATCTATATAAAGGTAAACATGAGTTCATGATGATGTCTCCAACTGTAATCCATCTACACATGGATCATTCTGGCCCTCTTCCCTTGCTTATCTGTGAACTCCTGCTTCAACAGTGAGAAAGCTGTCTTCTATCCTCTGCCATCCATTTACTTGTTTAATTCCAGTATACATGTGTAGTGGTATCAAAATTGTTAACCTGTACCCCCCTGGGAAATGACTTTTTCAACTAGAATACAGTGCTTATGCACAATTCCTTTTACCTTTAATCCTACAGACTTCACTCATTTCCAAAATTACTTAGAACAGCACCTTTTCCTTCCACCCCATTTGTTGAGGTTTCATATACTTGTCATGCATGCTGTTTTCTTGTCATAGTCTATATTCCTTCGTGGAATCCCCCAATCTCATAAATAATTTTTGATATTTGCATATGTTAAGTTCCACTCTTCATGCTATTTGGTTTTTGACAGATGCAGGAAGTCATGTGTCCACTATTATAGTATCATACAGAATAGTTTCACTGCCATAAAAATTCCTTGTGCTTTACCTGTTCAATCCCTCCCCGTAAACTGCTGGCAGCCACTGACCTTTTTTACTACATATATATATTTTTGCCCTTTCCAGGATGTAATATAATTGAATCATACAATATATAGATTTTTCAGACTGCTTTGTTTTACTTAGTAATACGCACTTAAGATTTATTTATGTCTGGCTGGGTGTGGTGGCTCATGCCTGCAATCCCAGCACATTGAGAGGCTGAGGCAGGTGAGTTGCTTGAACCCTAGGAGTTCAAGACCAGCCTGGGCAGCATAGGGAGACCCCATCTCTACTAAAAACAACAACAAGAAAACAAAAAAAGCACAAAAATTAGCTGGGCGTGGTGACATGTACCTGTATACCCAGCTGCTTGGTAGGCTGAGGTGGGAGGCTTGAACCCCAGAGGCGGAGGTTGCAGTGAGCTTAGATTGCGCCACTACACTCCAGCCTGGGTAACAGAGCGAGACCCCGTCTCAAGAAACAAAAAAAAAAGATTCGTTCATGTCTTTCTGTGGCTTGATAGCTCATTTCTTTTTATCATGGGGTAATATTCCATTGTATAGATGTACTATAGTTTATTCATTTATCTGTTGAAGGACATTTTGGTTGTTTCCAGTTTTTGGCAGTTATGAATAGCTTGTTTTTTAAAAAAAAATTATTCATCTTCTAAATCTTGGTTCCTAGGCCGCTTCATGTGGTTTAACCTTAAGTGGTCTAAACTGACTCCCTAAATACAGAGCATTTGTTTCTGCTTAGCATAATTTAGTTTTATAGCATAAAGTTAATTGTTTATTAGTTCATGTCTAAGGTTGCAGTGCTCTTTGAGAGCAATAGATACCTCTTTCTTATTTGTCTAACCACCCAGTGTTTATTTTTTCTGTACATTGGGCATTGCTTATTAACTTCAGTGGAATGATAACCTAGCAGAGGAAGAGGCAGGAGAAGGGAGTACTGTGAATTGGAACTAGACCTACTGGAAAGAAATTCTACCAGGAGATGGAGTGTGGTATCTGAAGTTTGTAATTTTGAAGATCATAAAGGCCAGAGAACAGATGGCGTTTTAGTCAGGTATTTCAGGTGATACTTTAGTCAAGGGTTTGGTATTGTGACAGGGCATTGTGGCGACTTGTAAGTCTAGGCAGTTCAGCAGAAACCAGGGCTTCTGTTTCTAGTGCATCCTGTCTTTTTTGGTAAGAGACTGGTAAGAACAATTCAGGCAACTCAAAGAGGAACTCAGGTATGGGTTTAAAAAAAAAGAGAGAAATCTAATTCTGAGAATTGGGCTAACCAGTATCAAAGACAATGGCAAATGGCAAATGTGATTTGACAGAAAATCTCACTTTTGAACCCCAGCTTCTTAAATTTCTTCTTGTGTATAATTTGTATTGGTTCTAGGGCTGAGGTTTAGTATTAAGTAGAAAGAAAATAGCTTCAAAATTCAGAAGCTAAAGAAGACACCTATCTCATCTTTAGTTAGTACTTAGAAATTATTTTAGAAAATGATTGCCTCTAGTTTGTTAAGACTGATAATAATAATTGCAATCTTAAGGCTTTGGTTGAGATAGAGTACAAAGATAAGCACATTGACTGGTTTATTTAAACATCCAAACTCTTTAGTTGTGATTTAATTTCTCTTCTTCCCATGGTGATTTAATTCAATGGTAAATATAGAAGAACAAATGTTTTTAAAGTAGTGGTTTAATTTTATTTATTTACTTTTCAGTTTTTTTTTGTAGTTACCTGAGGCGATAATGAATGTCTTGAGTCTTTACTAATGCCTATTTGGCATGGATACTTGTGAAAATTATTGAAAGGTGAACAAGCTCCAATTGATAAATTGTAGGTAATTGTGGAAGATGTTTTTGTTGTGAGATATTAGAACTGTCATCATTACCAAAAACTGTTCAGTTTTTAGCAGGTTTATGTATTTTGAGTGTATTTTAACATCTGTTGAAACAATATAAAGAATAGGGTTTTTTTGTTGTTGTTTTTTTGAGACGGAGTTTCATTGTTGTTGCCCAGGCTGGAGTGCAGTGGCGCAATCTCGGCTCACTGCAACCTCTGCCTCCCGGGTTCAAGCCATTCTCCTGCCTCAGCCTCCCAAGTAGCCGAGATTACAGGCATGCGCCACCATGCCCGGCTAATTTTGTATTTTTAGTAGAGATGGGGTTTCACCATGTTGGTCAGGCTGGTCTGCAACTCCTGACCTCAGGTGATCCACCCACCTTGGCCTCCCAAAGTGTTGGGATTACAGGTGTGAGCCACTGTGCCTGGCCAAGAATAGGTTTCTAATTAAATATCAGATTTTTAATTAGATAAATATGAGAAACTTTGTAGAATGGATATTAAACCCATTGCTACTTGTTCTGTATTAATAGTTTATGAATATTCTAAAAGTATTATATTTAAGAATTTTTAGAAAATTATAGAGGAGCTGATTAAAAAATCATGAATTGGATAATATTTTCTTTAGGATCCTTACCAAATGTTATGCAAGATTAGTATGTTTTGGGGTTGTGTGGTTATGCGTAGATCTATGTACAATCTTTGTTAGGTTTTTGTGCTAGTTAAAGAGAACTCAGGAAATGAGTTGAGAGTTTTTGTACCCTTGCTCCTTTTTCTGCATTTAGAAGGATCATTAGCAGAGAATAATATGTTCCTCAAGGGTTTGAGAGAGGTCAACCTTATGAGCAACTGTATTTGATATCTTTTTATTTGTTCCATGTTAACTAATTTTTTAGGATTTTCAAATCTGGCTTGAGTTATTTGGATGATCTGTAGTTTTCTAAAAATGATGTATTGGATGATCTGTGATTTTCTAAAAATGATGTTTTGAATGTTTAGAATGTGTTGCTTTTGAGTTCTTTGTAAATAGTCTGTTAATTTCAGTCTTTAAAATTTTTTCTCTATAGTATTAGCTATTTGTGTTTCTTAGTTTTTTTCTTTTGCTTTGTGTGAGATTTGTCTTTTATGTTTTATTTTTCTTTCTTTCTTTTTTTTTTTTTTTTGAGATGGAGTTTCGCTCTTGTTGCCCAGACTAGAGTGCAATGGTATGATCTCAGCTCACCGCAACCTGCACCTCCCAGGTATAGGTGATTCTCCTGCCTCAGCCTACCAAGTAGCTGGGATTACAGGCATGCGCCACCATGCCCAGCTAATTTTGTATTTTTAGTAGAGATGGGGTTTCTCCATATTGGTCATGCTGGTCTCGAACTCCTTACTTCAGGTGATGCGCCTGCCTTGGCCTCCCAACATGCTAGGATTACAGGCGTGAGCCACCGCACCTAGCCATCTTTCATGTTTTCAAAGAGTTGGCCTTTAGATTGATCAGTTCTAACATTTTACTTGTTGCATATTAATTTGTTTTAGGATATTTTCTTCCTTTTTTCCCTGTTATGAAATGTTGCCAGCACGCAATATTATATAGAAAACAATGTAATCAACCCGTACTCACAGCCCCACTCAAGTAATAAAATATTGCATATAATTGAAGCCCACTGTGTACCTCTGTCTCCACCAGAGGTGACCACTATTATGAATTTGGTGTTCGTCATTCCTATTCTTGTTTCTGTATTTTCAGTATAGATAGATGTTTTTATAAAGAATATATAGTTTTGCCTGTTTTCAGTCTTTATATAAATGTTATACTGTATGTATTATTCTGAAACTTGGCTTTTTTTCATTCCATAGTATGTTTTTGAGATCTTTCAATTCTGATTTCTATGTTCTAGATTCTTCTTTTTTGTTGTTGTATAAGAGTCCATGGTATGAGGCTGGGCACGGTGGCCCACACTTGTAATCTCAGCACTTTGGAAGGCCGAGGCAGGCGATTACTTGAGCTTAGGAGTTCAAGACCTGCCTGGGCAACATGATGAAACCCCGTCTCTAATCCCAGCTACTCGGGAGGCTGAGGCAGGAGAATTGCTTGAACCTGGGAGGCGGAGGTTGCAGTGTTCTGAGATTGTGCTATTGCACTCCAGCCTGCGTAACAAAAGCAAAACTCTGTCTCAAAAAAAAAAAATTAGCTGGGCGTGGTGGCATGTGCCTGTAGTCCTGGGCTGGAATGCAGTGGCACGATCATGGCTCACTGTAGCTTTGATCTCCTGGGCTCAAACAATCTTCCCGCCTCAGCCTCCTGAGTATTTGGGAGTTCAGGCATGTGCCCCCATGCCTGGCTGATTTTACATTTTATTTCTAATAGAGAGGAGGTCTTGCTGTGTTGTTCAACCTGGTCTTTAACTCCTGAGCTCAAGCAGTCCTACTGCCTTGGGATTACAGGTGTGTTGGGATTATAGGTGTGAGCCACTGTACCCAGCCAATATTTACTTTTAATAATTGCAGAAATATACCTCACAATATAGCTTTGGATTTTATTACGTTTTTTTCTTAGCTTTGTTTTGTCATTTTTGTGTAATCTGGTACTATTTTTGTTTCTTAATGTATTTTGAATAAATCTAAAAGGTTGAGGCCTTTTATTTAAATTTGGTTGTTGATTTTTGGCTTTACTGCATTTTGTTATATGCCTCAAATTATTTCCAGTTTTTGGAATTTGAGAGTTGATCAGTGAATGCTCTGAAAGCTGTTGTATTTGCTAGGTAATATTTATCCATTCAATATGATTCAAAGTTGTTCTTTAAAAGATTATTGATCTATCATATGTTGTTGGTGGCAGGGTAATGCCTCTTTCTGTCATTTTATAACTCAATCTTCTCCTTATAATCTTTTTTTTTTTTTTTTTTTGAGATGGAGTCTGACTCTGTTACCTAGGCTGGAGTGCAGTGGTGTGGTCTTGGCTCACTGCAAACTCCGCCTCCTGGTTTCAAGCGATTCTCTTGCCTCAGCCACCCGAGTAGCCATGATTACAAGTGTGCACTACCACATCCGGCTAATTTTTGTATTTTTGGTGAAGACAGGGTTTCCTATGTTGGCCAGGCTGTTCTCGAACTCCTGACCTCAAGTGATCCGCCCACCTTGGCCTCCTAATGTGCTGGGATTACAGTCGTGAGCTACCATTCACAGCTATTATAATCTAATGCTTTTTACCGATAAATTTTTATATTGCCTACATTTATGAATGTTATGTTTTTATTATGTATGGATACTTTTATAAAATGTCCTTGTTTTACCACTTCATGCCCATCATCATGACAAAATTCTGAGGTCTGGTAACATTAAGTATAGTCAAGGTTTGGAAGAAGTAGGAACTCTCAGTGCTACTGCTGAAAGAGCTTATTGGTAAAAATTATATATAGGAATTTGGTAGTATTCTGTAAAGCTGAAAATATGTATGCTCTAACCTTCTTCTACTTTTAGGTTTGTTCTTCACAGAAACTTTTGAACGCATATGCAACAATATTTATTGTGGTTTATTTTGTAATCACACACAATTGTAAATAGTGTAAATGCCTACAAAGAGGAGAATGGATTACACACTGTGGTATATTTATATGCTGCAATGCTGTATAACAGTTAAGATGAATAAGGTTGATCTAAATTATCAACATGGTATGTGCCTGTAGTCCCAGCTGCTCAGGAGGCTGAAGCGGGAGGATTGCTTGAGTCTGGGAGGTTGAGGCTGCAGTGAATCGAGATCACACCACTGCACTGCAGCCTGAATGGCAGAATGAAACTGTCTGAAAAAAATAATAATAATAAAAATTATCCACATAGTTAGATCTGAAAAACGTATGGGCAATATGATACTTTATAGGTAAACATTAAATTCATTTGACAGTATAGTATAGTGTTTATGAATATATTTAATACATATAAAGTGTAGAAACATGAACTGAAATGATAACGTGAAATTCATGATAGTATTTGTCTCTGGGGAGAGAGTGAGAACAAAGGAAGTGTCAACTTTATCTTAAAAGTTTGTCATTCATGAATAAGAAGAAACATCTGAAATGTAAGTATTTTTTGGAATATTCCTAGAATTCAAGATTCATGAAGAAGGAATATCTGAAACATAAATTAATATCCTTTGGAATATTTCTGGAATTCAAGAAGTGCTGTCACTTTTTAGTCCTTGCCTCCAGCTTGTGAGATTATGGTTGATCATCTTAAAATGTTTTTTGTTCTGTTCTATATTTTCTGTATTCTGCATAGTGAAACATGTTTCTCTGTTATGATCAGAAAGCAAGCTTTAACTTGAAAAAACCCAGTTGTCTTTTGAGTGGGACACTTAAATTCCATTTTGGCCAGTATTAAAATTGCCCAGTGTATTGACTCTTTTCTCTGCTATATAATTGCTAATCTCATTAAGCTTTTCCTCCTCTATTTGGCTTTTTCAAAAGATAATTCAACACATTGTCATAAATCTTACATATTGAGTTTACTTTTCTGTTTTATAGGTTAAAGAAGAGATGCTATTTGAAGCATTAGTTACAAGGAAGACGGTGACAGTGGGAGAAAAGCTTATTTTGCCATACAAGTTGGCAGAGGTATGATGAATTTTCTATGAAATGAAAGCATTCTGGACATTGTTAGAAGTTTAGGTTTGAAGTTTGGGTTTTCTCTTAACAGCAGGAAAATGACAAGGGCAAAAAGTTTTCATTGAAATATTTTCTAGGCCTTTAAATTTGATTGTGAATTTTCCATTGATTTGGAAACTTAAATTTGAATGTGATTGTGAGAAATAGGCTTGCATTTTTCTCCAAGGATCTTAACCTCTTCATCATTTCTAACTTTCATATTACTAATGTGGGGTAGATAGATGGTAGATTAGAATTATAAATGAGCAGTATTTGACCCAATTAATTATTATTCTTGAGACAGTTTCTTCTAGCACATCATACTTTTTTGGTTAACTTTTTCATTGTTGGCTACTTGTTTGCAGTTCTTTCTGCTTGTCTTGTCTTTTTTCTTCAACTCTAAAAGGTGGAGTACCCTAGGAAACAGTCTTTGTTTCTTCTTCTCTATATTCTTCATTGAGGTTATCTTACCCAGTCCCATCACTTTAAATATCATCTGTATACTGAGGCTTCTAGGTGATATTTGTTGCTACTATTATACCACTCAGATCTGTAGGGGTAGGAAAATTATTGAAAAGCCACTACTTTATGGAGTAATTTTATGAAAGTGATGACAAATCAAATTATGATAATTATAAAAATTGGACAGGAATATGAAATTAGAATATTAGAAGACAGAGGTGAGGAAATTGTGATTGAATTCTAGAGAATGTTTTTTAAGCTTGACATTGATCCATTTGTCTCATCTTCTGTGTCTCCAAGTCCACATTTCTTCTTATGTCATATTATAGTCTTCTACTTTGAGAGCTTCTTTCTAAACAATAAGAAAGCCAAATCTTTAAGAGTTTTATATTTCTTTTATGTAAAATAAATATTCATTGCTTTTTACATTTTATTTCACTACCTTTTTCTTTTTTTAAAAATTTAACTTTAAGTTCCGGGGTACATGTGCAGGTTTGTTATATAGGTAAACTTGTGTCATGGGGGTTTGTTGCAGAGATTATTTCGTCACCCAGGTGTTAGGCCTAGTACCCATTAGTTATTTTTCCTGATCCTCTCCCTTCTCCCACTCTTTATCACCCCTTGTATGTCTCCGTGTGTTCTCATCATTTAGCTTCCACTTAGAAGTGAGAACATGCTGTGTTTGGTTTTCTGTTCCTGCGTTAGTTTGCAAGGGATTATGGCTTCCAGCTTCATCTATATTCCTGCAAAGGACATGGTTTTCTTCTTATTTATGGCTGCATTGTATTCCATGGTGTATAAGTACCACATTTCTTTATCCAGTGTGTCATTGATGAGCATTTAGGTTGATTCCATGTCTTTGCTCTTGTGAATAGTGCTGCAGTGAGCATATGCTTACATGTGTCTTTATGATAAAATGATTTCTATTCCTTTGGATATATGCCCAGTAATTGGATTGCTGGGTCGAATAGTAGTTTTGCTTTTAGGTCCTTGAGGAATTGCCACACCGTCTTCCCCGATGGTTGAACTAATTTACACTCCCTCCAACAATGTATAAATGTTCCTTTTTATCCGCATCCCCACTAACATCTGTTGTTTTTCGACTTTTTAACAATAGCCATTGTGACTCGTTTCATTGTGGTTTTGATTTGCATTTCTCTAATGACCACACCACCTTTTTCATTACAAAATTTTTTTAAATATTTATTTTTATTTTTAACTTTAAATGTAACCTTCTGAGATTGTTTTGTATTCCCAGCTTTGTTTTTGTTTATGTTTGTTTGGTGTATTTTTTTCTTTTTTTTTTGAGATGGAGTCTCACACTGTCACCTGGGCTGGAGTGCAGTGATGTGATCTCGGCTCATTGCAACCTCTGCCTCCCAGGTTCAAGTGATTTTCCTGCTTCAGCCTCCCGAGTAGCTGGGATTACAGGCACCCGCCACCATGCCCAGCTAATTTTTTGTATTTTTAGTAGAGACAGGGTTTCACCATTTTGGTCAGACTGGTCTTGAACTCCTGACCGTGTGATCACCTGCCTCGGCCTCCCAAAGTGCTGGAATTACAGGTATGAGCCACCGCGCCCGGCCGTTATTTCTTTAATAAAAATTTCAGCCCCTTAATCTCAAGCACTGAAATTGAGATATCCATTGGGGTATAATGTGTCATCTGAGGCTTGAGGTTCTCTTCCAAGTTCACAGGTGGTTGACAGGATTCAGTTCCTTGTGATTCTAGGACTGAGGCACCTAGTTTTCTGTTGTTGTTGGATGTCAGTCAGGGGCCATTCTCAGCAATTAGAGGCTGATGTGATTTTTTGCCATGTGACCCTGCCTGTAACATGGCAGTTTGCTTCTTCAGGGTCAGCAGGAGAAGCTCTATTTACAGCAGAACTCAAATCCCTTTTGAAGAGCTTTTTCTGATTATGTCAGTCCTATCCAGGATGATCTCCCTTTGATTAAAAAGTCAATTGGTTTGGGTTTTTATATCTTTAAAATCCCTTCATTTTTATCATGTAACATCAGGTTCATATGGGAGTGGAATCCATTGTATTTACAGTTCTGCCTACACTTACGAGGAGGGAATTATACAGAACTTGTACTCCCCAGGGGATGGGAATCTTGTGGGCTATCTTGGGTTTTGGTCAAACACAGAAGTCAGGAGTGGATGTAGAGAGATGAGTTCAGAGGCTGCAATAGTGAGAATGATATTTGCTTTGTAGAATGGTGACATATTGACAGGGAGAAATGTATGGATTTAAAAGAAAAAAAATTGATGACTAAATCAACAGGACCTGGTAATGACTTGAATAATGGGAAGCAAGGCAAACAAAGGAGGTGTCAAGGATGAGTCCTACATTTCTGGTTTACACAGCTGTAAGAATATTGGTACCCTTCAATGAGATAGGAAACACTAAATGAGGTCTTGTTTGGGTGGGAAAATATTACTTGGTATTTGGGTTTGCTGAGGTTAAGCTATGAAAGACAGACATGCGTTTCAGAGAAGAGGGCTGGAAGTATAAAATTTGGAGTACAAAGTAAATAAATAGGTATTGTATTGGCATATCTGGATTCTATAACTATGGTATGTTATAAAAAGGGTACATTATGTAAACCATAGTGTAGTTAGACTTTAGTTTTTATCTTTGTCTGAAGGTCTGTCTTTTAAATTCAACTCATTTATAAAATTTATTGTGATAATGTTTATATGCTTATTCTATGTCTTATATTTGTTGATTTAGTTTTCAAATATTGTACTTTCCCTGAATTTTATCAGATTATCTTCATTTTTCTTTTCTTTCTGGGGGAAAAATACAGTGGTATTCTATTATATTTTCATTCTACCATTGGTTTTCTTGATAGTTGGTTCACCTTACGCTCAGATTCCATATCCAAAGATTCAACCATTTGCAGATTAAAAATATTCTAAAACTGCACAACAATAAAAAATAATACAGGTTTCTGGTGTTGAAGATAGAGAATTTGATACCAATCTTCTCTCTGCTATGTAGGCAGTTATTTTTTGGTCTAGGAACTGGAAGCTTCTTTTTCCTTCAGTATTCAGAAATTAATTCATCACCTGTGTGGTAGGTTGTAGTATTACCTTCTTTTTACAGATGTATAAGCAGTAGCCTAAGAGGTTAAGTAACTTAGTCACGATTATGCAGCTAGAATAAGTAGAAAAACTAGAATTGGAAGATAGTCTAGTTCTTAATCATTACTCTCTATTTTCTTTATACTTCAAAACAGAGTTATAAATATATGCCTGAATATACAAGCTTCAAAATAAACCCCTAGATAATAAATATGTAAATTGCTGGGATTTATATTCTTCTAAGTGCCAAGACTCAATTCTGTAAGACATGTGCCCTACCCTACTCCTCCCCCCCTTTTTTTTTTTTTGTAAATTTATGCTTTCTAAATGGTGAAATTCTTGTTTTTTTAAGAACAATTTCAGACTTACAGGAAAATAGAGCAGATAGTATAGAGAATTGTCATAAACTTGGAAAGCTTAGAGTGAGGAAAAAATAAATTTTGTAACTACATAATGAAGGAATTGTTTCTGTCCTCAAGGATGGAGTAATTCTAGGAGTTTCTATGGGTGACAAGCTGAAGACAACTATCAATGTAATTGTGGTTGTATTAGTGTATGTTTTAAGAGGGTGATTTGGATCCTGCAGAAATTAATGGCTGTTTGCTAACAGATTTGTTCCTCTGCCTAGAATACTCTTACCCACACTAACTGGCAAAGTCATTTGTTTGTAAACTTCCAATTATACCTTCTTTCCTAGGGGGAATATATATCCCAATTTTTAGTAAACATGTTTTGAGCTGGGTGACCTACATTTTGTTTCTCTCATCTTTAATGGCAGTTTTGGCCTAGATTCTCTGAGTGGGACTAATTGAATGAGTACATATGGAAAACTTCAATTGACTGGGTGCGGTGGCTCACGCCTGTAATCTCAGCACTTTGGGAGGCCGAGATGGGTGAATCACCTGAGGTCAGGAGTTCGAGACCAGCCTGACCAACATGGAGAAACCCTATTTCTACTAAAAATACAAAATTAGCCAGGCATGGTGGCATGTGCCTGTAATCCCAGCTACTTGGGAAGCTAAGGCAGGAGAATCACTTGAACCCAGGAGGCAGAGGCTATGGTGAGCCGAGATTGCGCCATTGCACTCTAGCCTGGGCAACAAGAGCCAAACTCTGTCTCAAAAACAAACAAACAAAAAACTTAAGTTATAGATTTTTTATTTTGAGAGAAAAATTAGTTTCTAATTCAGAATAGTAAGTTTCTTTCTTGAATGGGAGCAAAAAACTTTGTCATGGTATCTTAATCATATCATTGTCAATTCTACATGCACTTGTAATCCTTTTGTTTTTCAGGCTGTGACAGTGAGGAACTCCATGGCTAAGTCTCTATATAGTGCCCTGTTTGACTGGATAGTTTTTCGAATTAATCATGCACTTCTGAATAGTAAAGATTTAGAGCATAATACCAAGGTAATGATATATTAGATTATAATGTTTTTCCCTAAAAGCTATTTTAGTAAACTGGTTAATACATGAAATTTAAAAACACAGAATTATATAGAGTAATAAGTAAGAAATCACTTTTATTCATTATTTATTACCCTGTTCAGAAGAATTGTTCTGTGTGTCTTTCCAGACCTTTTTTATTATGTGTTTTTACCTCCCAAACGTGTATATTCAGAGTTGCTTTAAAAAATGTAAATAGAATCATGCTCTCTGTATTCTTTCAAACATATATATATATTTTTTTTACCTAGAATCTCTTGAAATATTTTCTGTCTCATTATATATCTGGACCTGGTTATTTAAAAAAATGTTTTAATATAAATACATAATAAGATGTGTACCATAAATCCATCCATTAAAAATAGATTATTTTTGTTTTATTGTTATAGATAATGCTGTAACAAATATTCTTTTACTTACCTGTGTATTCATTTCTCTAGGATAAAATTATCAAAGTGGGATTGCTGTCTTTGTTTGTTTGTTTGAGATGGTATCTCGCTCTCACCCAGGCTGGAGTGCAGTGGCATGGTCTCGCTACAACCTCTGACTTCCAGGTTCAGGCGATTCTCCTGCCTCAGCCCCCTGAGTAGCTGGGATTATGGGTGCCCACTATCACATCCAGCTCATTTGTGTATTTTCAGTAGACACAGGGTCTCACTTTGTTGGCCAGGCTGGTCTTGAACTCTTGACCTCAGGCAATTCACATGCTTCGGTTTCCCAAAGTGCTGGGATTATAGGCATGAGCCACCATGCCCTGCTGATTGCTGAGTTTAAGGATAGATACATTTTAAAAATTGGACACTTTCCAAAAAAGACTATACATTTCCAGCAGCAGTGTGTGAAAGCACCTGATCCCCTACACCTTTACCCACATTGGATGTTATCAGTATTTAAATTCTCCTAATCTGATAAGGGAATGGTCATTTTATTGCATTATTTTTAATGATAGATAAAAGTTCATAAAAGTTATGTTTTCTCTATTTTATTTATTCTCTATGTTTTTAAAATATCTTTGTGTTATTTTTGTTTTTTATTTTGTCTTTTTGATACTCCTTTTATTTTTAATTTAATTTTATTTTTGAGACAGTGTCTCACTCTTTTTGCCCAAGCTGGAGTACAATGGTATGATCTTGGCTCGTTGCAACCTCCGTCTCCTGGGTTCAAGTGATTCTCCTGCCTCAGCCTCCCAAGTACCTGGGATTACAGGTGCTCGCCACTAGTTTTTGTATTTTTAGTCAAGATGAGATTTCACCATGTTGGCCAGGCTGGTCTCAAACACCTGACCTCAAGTGACCTGCCCTTCTTGGCCTCCCAAAGTGCTGGGATTACAGGCGTGAGCCACCATGCCTGGCCTACTCCTTTTTAGAAGGCATTTATTGTGGATATTTGTGGAGGCCTATAGTTTGATATATATTGCAATTATTTTCTTAGTTATTTACTTTTTAGATTTATTTATAATATCTGTTTTTGTGATTTTATGTTGTAATTTTTTTGCAGTTAATTCTGTCATTTTTCTTGTTTTTAGTTTTGCATTTTGTATATGTATTTTACTTACAGAGGAAGGCCTCTTCTAGCCCAAGATTGTAAAATATTTATTCTTATATTTTTATAATTATAATTTTTTATGTTTAGACTTTTTCTAACTAGAATTTATTTTTAATATGGCAGATGATAGGTATTTAATTTCACATCTAGTTGTATTTTCTGGGCAGCCTTCATGGACTAGTCCACCTTGTCAGACTGATTAAAAATGTCATCTTTTTAATTTAATCATATTGCCTTAAATGTGAAATTGCTCTTATGTTAATTTTTCATGCTTCAGGTAAACTCACAGTCACAAAAATTAATTTAAATTGTAATCTAATTTGTCAAATTGATATATTTTCGAAGGGCATTATTTTAATTTTTTTAAGGGCCTAAACTTGGCAGAATTAAACAAAATAGTACAGGCTTTAAAAAAAAATCTTACTATTTATCATTCATTATATCAGTTTGCCCATTGTATCTCTTAGCACCAGTGGAGAAAAATTATTTTCATTTAACCAAAATTGTCATACAACTGTATTTCTAGAATGGGTTGGGGTCATGAGAAAAGTGTTTATATGCAGGTATTAGAGCCAAATCCACAGTAAGAAGTTAGCTTATTCCTAGAAGTATAAACATTTGTGTTCTGTATTCTACCAAACAGCTGAAAGATTTGAATGTGGTTGACTTTAGGGAGCAGACCTTGATGAGGCAGGGATTGCTGTCTTTCGTTATAATCCTTTTAGCACTATTCAACATTTTAAACCTCATACTTTTTTTTTTAAATAAATATTTTTAACTTTATGAAACCATATGTTCTGGCTGAGTGTGGTGGCTCACGCCTGTAATCCTAGCACTTTGGGAGGCCGAGGCGGGTGGATCACCTGTACTAAGGAGTTTAATACCAGACTGGCCAACATGGTGAAACTCGTCTCTACCAAAAATACAACAAATTAGCCAGGAGTGGTGGTGCATGCCTTGGTAAACCGAGCTGCTGGTGAGGCTGAGGCAGGAGAATCGCATGAACCCCGGTGGCAGAGGTTACAGTGAGCTGAGATCATGTCACAGTACTCCAGCCTGGGCAACAAATCGAGACTCCGTCTCAAAAAACAAACAAAAAAAAGAAACCATACGTTCTGACATCTAGTTTCACTCAGTCTTCATGAGGCTTATAAAATATACTAGTTTGGTTCTTAACGAAGAATTCTATTTATTGGAGTGTAGAAGTCAAAATAGGAAAAATTGCATCGTCTTCTTGATATAGCCAGGAGTAACCTGCCTCTCTTGATCCTTCATTTAAATAACCTTTTGATTTCCCCATACTCTGTTTTTTTCCATTCCCTTTTAGATCTTAGGGATTTCTGAGGTTTCTTAAGATAACAGGCCATTAACCTTGCTTCACACATTTCTGTAATCTATAGATTATATGTATTAACGGTTTGGATGTATTTTTTAATTAGGACAAAAGTAAGATAAAGAGAACTGGAATACTTTTAATTCATGATATATTTTGAATACTGACCAAACACAATCCCCTGTGTACTGCTTTAGAGGAATTGAGCATTTTGTTACTCATGTTGTGGATATTTTTCATTAAATAAATTTAAACATTACTTTTAATCAAAACTTTCTCTTGTTTTACAGACATTGTCCATTGGTGTTCTTGATATTTTTGGGTTTGAAGATTATGAAAATAACAGCTTTGAACAGTTCTGTATTAATTTTGCTAATGAACGTTTACAGCACTACTTTAATCAGCATATCTTTAAATTGGAACAAGTGAGTACCTAAATATGTATACACTTGTCCCCCCATCACACATATCTTTCAGTCATACTCATAATAATTCACTTTATTTTTTCAGACATTTTATTGATTTACATAGTATTTCTATTAAATATTGAAACGTGCCTTTACAAACAAGAATAACGATGTAAATTGGCTTGGGAAGAAATACCGTTGCCTCTTTGTATATGTAAACTCAACTGATGGGGTTAGAAATGTGTAAGATACAACAGAGTAGTCTGGTAGCTTCAATTGTTTATCATAATATCAGTTACAATATTTTATTAAAAGAATGGAAAGCACATAATAAGCATTTTAAATCTTGTCTTTCAATACAAATATTGTGGTCCACATATCATTGTAAGCAGATGACAGAGGTTTTATAGTCCCCGAAATAGATTTGCTGGCTGGGCGCGGTGGCTCACAGCGATAATCCCAGCACTTTGGGAGGTCAAGGTGGGTGGATCTCTTGAGCCCAGGAGTTAGAGACCAGCCTGGGCAGCATGGCAAAACCCTGTTTCTACAAAAAATATAAAAATTAACCAGATGGGGTATTGCATGCCAGTAGTCCCAGCTACTCAGGAGACTCAGGTGGGGGGATCACCTGAGCCTGGGAGATGTAGGTTGCAGTGAGCTGTGTTCGAGCCACTGCGTGCCAGACTGGGCAACAGAATGAGACTGTCTCAAAAAAAAAAAAATTGCTTATATATGCTTATTTGATTGCACCTTTGTTGTTTTTGCAGGGGTGTATGTTTTTTAGAAATGGGTCTTCTTGCTCTGTCACCCAAGCTGAAGTACAGCGGCTTGATCTTGGCTCACTCTGTCAACCTCTGGGGCTCAAACAGTCCCCCCACTTCAGCCACTCAAGAGCTGGGACCACAGGTGCACGTCACCATGCCCAGCTAATTTTTGTTTTTATTTTTTATAGAGACAAGGTGTCACTATGTTGCTCAGAGTGGTCTCAAACTCTTAGGCTCAAGCGATCCTCCCCCCTTGACCTCCTAAAAGTGCTGGGATTTCAGGCACAAGCTACCACGCCTGGCCTTGAATGAACCTTTGAATAAAAAGATGTGTGTGTTTGTTTTGTTTTGCTTTTATTGCTGGTGTTGATTGTTTTTTTCTTTTCTTTTTTTTTCTTTCACACAGGAGTTTAGAAACAATGGTGTTGATTTTTAATTGCTACCTTGGGCTTGGTCACTGTGTGTAATGCTAAGTACAGTCAGTCAGTCCTCCTTATCTTTGGGTTTTACATCCAAGCATTCAACCCATGGCTGATACAAAGCTACTGATACAAACCTGCAAATACAGAGGGCTGACTGTACTAAGCCATTTTATATTAGAGATTTGAGCATCTGTGGATTTGGTATCCACAGGGGGTCCTGGAGCCAATCCCTCGAGGATATGGAGGGCCAGCTGTATGCTTGTTTGATTGCTTTGGTCTCTTAGTTCTGGGATGGGATAGAGGAGCTTATTAACAGAATCTCAAGTCAATACAGAGTGTAGATACAAAGAAACTAGGTATGGAGAGACCAAGATGGGTAACTAGATATTTCTTATGAGAATCTCAAGATTGATTAAGTTAGTATAAAAAGAGTGTGCTTTCGGCTGGGAGCGGTGGCTCACACCTGTAATCCCAGCACTTTGGGAGGCCGAGGTGGATGGACGAGGTCAGCAGTTTGAGACCAGGCTGACCAGCATGGTGAAACCCCATCTCTACTAAAAATACAAAAATTAGCCGGGTGTGGTGGTAGGAGCCTGTAATCCCAGCTACTAAGGAGGCTGAGGCAGGAGAAACGCCTGAACCCGGGAGGCGGAGGTTGCAGTGAGCTGAGATCATGCCACTGTACTCTAGCCTGGGCGACAGAGTGAGACTCCGTCTCAAAGAAAAGAGTGGGCTTTCAGTTTCCATGAGAATTATTGGGGTAAAGGGAGGGTCAAACAAAATGTGGACTTTTTCTCCAAACTGAGGTTGAAATCAGTAATAGGTTTACATTGTACCCCAGAATTTGTGTGTGAGGACATAGGCAGACACAGGTTTCATCAAACTGAACTCAAGGGAAATGGTTAAGAATAGAGAATGAACAGAAAGACTACAGCAGCTAGCAGGTCTACAGAAAAGGGGGAGAAAAGATCTTTACATCATCAAGTCTCCCATCATTGGATCTTGTTGCTCTCTGTCTTAACTTTTTAAAAAAGTGCCTCTATTTTGCTTAAAGGACATAATGGCTGGTTAACAATAACATGACAATATTAGTCCTGGCCAACTTGATGAATGCTTAAAGTTTTAAACATACAACCTTTTAGCTAGATGCTACACTAGAGCTTTGGAAAGATAATATTGTTATAATATTAGCTAACACTTATGAGTTATGTAGTGTTATTTATCAGTCAGTACTATTTTTATTCTAGTTTTTCAGATGATGTCTAAAGCCAGTATTAAACCTTAACACTCTGGCTGTATAATATTTTCTTTTAACCAAAAGCTAAGCTGGGATTGCCATCCATGTCTCTTGATTCAGTCCAAGACTCTTACTTAAATCATACTAAATTAATATTCTTTATCTCTTGCAGATAAATATATGTGTTAAAAGGGTGAGGGAATGCATTTTGTTGTCTGGGTTCTATATTTTACAGAGCAGAACATCAGTTGCTCTGTGGATCATTAAACAGAACATTGGTTAAGTTGCTTTTGAAAAAAGACAGGTATTCTTTATTGTAAATTGAAATTATTCTTTTCTAGAAGTCTAGATTAGACAGCCAACCAGAAGAAATGCCTTGGCTATAAATGTATTATATAAAAATAAAAAACCTTAGAGTTTATGGAAAATGTGTTCAAAACTACTTGGAAGATGGGTGATTCTCATTTACTTGCTACCCTGAATATCAATGTTTTGGGCAATGTGGTGCAATTATGGATCAGAATCTTGTCAAGTGTCTTATTTATATGTACCTCATTGGTAACTGGTATGAAATGGGTACTCAGTGACTCAGTGATTACTTGTTAAGTTCAGTTGAGTATAAAATCAGTTAAGGTTAAAATATTTAAAAAGAAGATATAGTATCATGGGTACGTTTATAGGAAAAATCTTCAATATGATGACTGTGGTTTGGTTCTAAATTTTGTCCAAAAGGAGTACATAGGCATGTAGGATGGGAAAGAGATGTAATAATTGCCATGCAGGATGTAAATGCTGAAATCAGATATAAGGTAAAGTAGTTACACAAAGGATGAGGTTGATTGGAACTACCTGAAAGCTGCAGAAATTTTCCAGGGTTGATTCTGGTATATAGCTTCAAATAGTGAGCTGGAGCTCACTAGATTGTCAATGGGAAAATATATTTTAGGCAAAGGTAACATACACATTGTACTTAAAACTGTGGACTTACATGTCGTGCAGAGATGATTAGAATTTTTCAGACAATGAGAAGCTATTTGAAGTATATTTAGCAGAGGACTTGAATTGGACTGAAGAGCAGTGAACTGGAAAGAAGGAGAAAAATCTATGAACTAGTTGAGGTACTGTCATGTGTCACTTAATGATGAGGATGTGTTCTGAGAAATGCATCACTGGGTGATTTTGCTGTTGCATGAACATCATCCTGTATTTACACAAACCTAGGTGGTATAGCCTACTACACACCTAGGCTATATGATATAGCCTGTTGCTCCTAGGCCACAAACCTATACAGCGTACTACACTGAATATTGTAGGCAGTTGTAACACAGTGGTAAGTATTTGTGTATCTAAATGTATCTAAACATAGAAAAGATACAGTAGAAATACAATATAAAAGATAAAAAATGGTACAGTTACATAGGGTACCTACCATGATTAGAGCTTGCAGGACTGGAAGTTACTCTGGGTGAGATGTTGGGTGAGTGGTGATAAAGGCCTAAGACATTACTGTACACACACTAGTTAGACTTTATAAACACTGTACACTTAAGTTACACTAAGTTTATTTATTTTTTTCTTTTTGTAATAATAAATTAACCTGAGCCCACTGTGATGTTTTTACTTTATAAACTTTTTTTGACTTTTTGACTTTTGTAGTAGCAATTTAAAACACAAACACATTGTATAACTGTGCAAAAATGTTTTCTCTTTATATAATTATAAGCCCTTTATTAAATTTTTTTAAAACTTTAAAAACATTTTTGTTAAAAGCAAAGACATGTACATACATATTAGCATGTATACATACATATTACCATATTAGCATGTATACATACATATTACCATAGCATATTAGTATAGGCCTACACAGGGTCAGGATCAAGATGTCGGTAGATAATACGAATTTTTCATGAGATTAGGGATCACTGTTGTATATGCAGTTGGTCCTTGACCGAAATGTTTTTGTGTGGCACATGACTGTAAAATGGGTGAGTGATTCTGAACTGAATCAAGGTAGTGGTAGAGCCTATAATGTAGACTAAGAGACAGACCCAAAGAGGTTTCTGATATTTAAAAGTACAGCTATCCCTGCATATCCACAGGGGATTGGTTTAGGGACCCCCTGCTGAAGAATACTAAAATCCACAGATGCTCAGGTCCCTTATGTAAAATAGCACAGTATTTGCACATAATCTATACACATTCTCCAGTATACTTTAGATCATCTCCCAGTTTCTTATCTTTAATACATTGTAAATGTTATGTAAATAGTTGCTATACTGTTTCATTTCTAAGTTTATATTTTTATTGTATTTTTTTCTAAATATTTTTAATATGTGGTTTGTTGGATCTACAAATGTGGAATCTTTTGCAGATATGGAGGGCCAATTGTATGTTTTCTGTTATTTGTATTACTGCCCTCTTTTTTCTTTACTTGCTGAGAATTATTCTTCATTTTATTGATTCATGAGTAAATTGAACAACAGTTGTGTGCCAGGCAATGCGCTAAGCATAGAAGATAGAAAATTTACAGTGCAGGGATCTTATTTGAGGAGCTCATAATCTAGCAAGTTTTTGTTTCATCCATTTTACTTC